AGACAGAAGGGTATAGTTTCTCCAAGAAGCAGAAATTATACTTACCTGTTGGACACCGCTATAAACCTGTGAAGGATTCCTGTAGCCGTGTCATTGTTATAGTACTGCTGTTAAGAAGGCCACGGTACTGTAACAGTATATTAAAGCTTTCTTCTGTATTTGATTTTATTATTTTAGACTAATGATTAAAAAATGCATTCTATTTTTCACCAGTATTGAAATAACTTCTACACTTGGCTAAAACATTTTTCTCTATATGCCATGTACAAAGAAGATTTTTCGAATCTGGAAATGCTTGCTTAAGTGCATATACAAGTGCCAATTCACGATCAGTTAAAATAACCTTGGGCTTCTCAATTCCATAAAATAAATGTAATACCCATATAAGAGCCCACAAATAATCATCTTCTTTCTCCTCTTTAATAAATATGAAACATGAAAAGAATGTTGTATTAAAATATGTTACTCCAACAACATTAAGGAGAGGCATTTTGAATAGATTTGTTTTATAAGTACAATCCATCAATAAAACTGAAGGATAGCTATGTGTTAATTCAACAGATTTAGGATGAGAAAAGAAGAGATGTGTTATATGCCTATTACTATTACATTTGTAATTATATTCAAACTGCCCATCTTCAAGTTCCTTTACAAGTGCCTGAATCAGTGTTTTACCTTGTAAACTTTCTAACCGAATTTTTTTACGAACATTATATATATCACATAAAGTAGTAGCAATTGAAAGATCATTCTGCCGCAGAGATGTTATTATTTCTAAAGAATGAATACCAGCTTTTGTCATTTTATTTAGTCTTTCTTGTGCATCTTTATTTAATTTTCGAAAAGACGGATGTGCTGATTTATCCTCTGACAGCTCATGAATATGTGTCAAATTAATGGAAGATAAAATCCACATATCATCATTTTGTTTGATACCACAGAAATAAAAGGGCATTCTATTAACCTGGAACTTGTTCTTTTTTGCATATCTCATCTGTATGGTTTAAACAGTTTCTGTATTTGCCTCCATGATCACAACCTAAATATACTTTATTTCGCTTTGATCTTGTAATAGATATACCATATCCATTAGAACAATTCACGGTTTAAGAATTAACTAGTAGAAGTAAGTGCAAGCATATATAATAATGAAAAATTTGTTTGTAAAAAGTCAAATATGTTTTATCAATTTTATAAAAGAAGTTAATCCTCTTTATATAAAAATTTGCTACATCTTTATACTTTAACAATTACTAACCTATTACATAAAATTTAAGTTTATTACACTATAGAGTGAAATCATAAAATATCAAGCCATAATTAAATACTTGAAATGATAAAATTACATATATTAAAAATTTTAACTGATATACACTCTTTTAAAAAAAAATCTTTTTTGTATCATAAAAAAAAATATCAGAAAAAGCAAGAGGACTAGCACATTTACTTTATAACTATTTAACTACCATTAAATAACAACACAACTAGACAACTAAAGATTAAAATTAAACGGAATAGA